TCGTGCAATCCGTGCATCGTGCAAGACTTCGAGAATACCCCTAATATGTTGGTGTTGGATCGAGCTTTTCCTCCGTTTTGGGCGTGCGGCTTGATGTTGTCACACAAAGGGGAGGGACCTACAGTTTTACGCCGACTCCGAACGCCGGTTGTATTTTATGGCAAGCTGTTAGTCGGCAGGTACTGTTGCTTATAGCTAAGGAATCTTTATGGAAAAAATTGCGGCAAAACGTCAGTAAAATAATTATCAAAAATTAACTATTACATTAAAAAATTAACTATTAATTAAAGCTACTTCAAACTTGCACTTTGTTGTACTAAAATTGAATGAGCTACAAAACTGCAAATTCAACTAAATTCTTTATTTTTTTCTTCAAAATTTGGAGCTTGAGTTCATATAGTTTTTGTAAGAGAGTGAACTGTATTTTAATGGAAAATAAAGCGCTCAAAGTTGTCCATGTATTTTATCTGGGGGAAAAACACTTTTCGTAGAAATTGTATAAAATTCTTGAAAATCAATATTTTTGCATCGGAAATCTCTGGTTCTCTTCAGGAGACTTCCAATAACAATACCGAATTGTTTATTTAACCATTTTTTAGTACTAAAGATTTTTTATTTATCCCCCCGTTGTATTTTCTGGCATTTTATAAGGGTTTTGGCGGACCTATGAAATATGGTTACTATAAAAAAATGGTTAAGTAAATAAGTGGGTATTATTATTGTAGAGAAATAGGCTTTTCTGATCCAAAAATATTGATTTTCAAATATGTCATTTCTACAAAACGTTGCGAAACACATTGAAAACTTTGAGCACATTGGGCGACCTGTAAATATTTTTTTTGATAAAAAAAGAGGCGTACTTTTTTTGGTATCGAACAATCCTAGGGGGTGCGATCATAAAAATTCCAACTTTACTTTCACATGCATTTTTGGACCACCTTAGTGTGCATACGTATGAACGTATGTATGCATGTATGTACAAATGCCTAGAAGATTTATACGAAATAATCAGTAATTTCAAATTGTTTGAAATCACCACTGCCAGTCGATGTGAAAGGCCAATCAATATATTATATTTAGTTAAGCTGCTTTATTCCGGTTCTTTGATGTTCACTCACAATGTATACATAAATACTTATATATAAACAATACAATAAATCGCGAATAGCGGACTTTACTCGCCGCAGAGTGTTGAAAGTTAATAGCTTTATATATCCCTGTAGGAAATTCGAATATGCCGCCATGCCAAAAATTGACAGCAACTTTTTGTACCGGTTACAAAGCTTTTGTTACCAGCTTATTTACCTTTAACTTGCTAGATGCTCTAGGAATATTTCTGCATCAGAAAGGAAATTTTGGAGAAAAAAATGTCGCGTACGTTATTTTGGCGATTAGGGCTCTATCCCTGCCAGCATTTTCTATTGCGGAAGTTACTAATTCGACACGACATACATATCTGTGAAAATCATCGCCGACGATATCGCTATATTTTCGAATTCTTATCCGCTCTCGGGAAGAACTGTTCCACTAAGACGTCGATAAGAATGATAGTAACTTTTGCGATAAAATCTAAAGTATTAAAGAAGATTCTCCGTTGGTTAAATTTTTGATTAAACGTAGTGGGAAATATGGGATACCTTTGAAATTGCAACCACAGCCGCAGAGTTACTTACCCCATTTTCGTCCTGCTTTCGTCTTAGGTTACTAACTCAACATACATATTTTATGAAACTCCACCTAAATATTTTAAAAAGCAGTTCCAAAAACATCATAGTATAATAGCGTTAACTTAATAAATAAAACAACGCATCTTTTTAAAATTTAAACACATTTTTATTATTTGTTATACATAATTACTTGCACGTTCATTGAAAATTTAAAACAAATGGAGAAAGTAAATATATAATTTTACTTGAAAGAATTTCCAAGATTTGCCTTGTTAATTTTCAAAACTTCAGAGGGTAAAAAACGACCGACAGAAATGTGTTTTTCTTTGTTCTCGTGAATTTAGTTACTATTTAATAATAATAATATTTAATTGTTATATTCATTTTATTTTATTTTTTTTTTACATTTTTTTATTTATATTTAATATTTTTACCATGATAACTTCCAATAGTCACGAAGAAGTGACATCGTGGAGCTGGACGACAAAATTCTCTTCCGATTGCTGGCAGGGATATAATTTATTCATGTTCACATCTACATAGATACGTTCAGACATGTATGTATGTATGGCTAAGGGCACACTTATCGCCTTCGATCATTGTAGCCGCGCTTCAATCGCATGATTTTAAACAACAACAAAAAAACGATGTTTTATAAACACCTACCATTAATACATGCAGACATAAATAGCTATGTATGTATATGTATGTATTATTTGTACATTTGTACCCTCAGAAAGTAGACCCGGATGAGTGTCCAAGCGCTGCAATTTGACTTTAATAAGCCTCAACTATTCGCTTACGGGTACAATTACAGATTTCAAGATACATATCGTCGTTTAAAGTACAAAACCGCCTATCAAGATAATGCAAAACCATTCCCACGACAGCCGGTTCTACGTACCGGAATGACTCGGGTTTCACCCGACCAAGGGCTGTTGTTTCGGCGATCTAACCCCGTTTAGGTCGGCGAAGTATCTCAGAAGTTGTCCGTCCATAGGGCAACATTCACTACGCATTCTCCTACTCAGGGCTGGCATCGAGTCAAACCCTGGGCCAGAAATATACACCTGCTGTGTATGCCG